CTACTTCATATTAATATAATTTGGTTTAAGGATTATGAACAGGTTCACTTTGACATGTGACTGAGGTCTGTCTTTGGATGAACTACTTCATATTAGTGAGCAGGAGGATATAAGGGTGGAACATCATGTAAAAGGGATTATTGGGAGGATATAAGGTGGGACGATATCGGCATAGCCTAACTCTTATCATGATAACTATTAGAGTTACAACAGATTGGAGTTCTCACTTCTTGGTGATTTGAGGATTTAGAGATGTTGTCTTTAGTAGAAATGATGGTAATGATGTGATGGGTATTGGAGATCATATAATTCGTGACTGTTGAGAAATGCTTTGGGTAAAAGCATTGATTATGAGGAAACAGAGGAGCTCTGGTTGTACCTTGCAAGGACCAGAGGGGCTCTGATTGACCCTCATAATAGAACCAGAGGATGTTGGTTATTTATGAAAAATCTTTTATGAATTTATGAGTTTGGAAAATAAGCTTTATATCTTTGAAAAGCAAGCTTAGTGCTTTAAATCTTTGTTTTTAAATGTTATTTCAAAAGATTCTTTATACTTAGTCTTTTTGTGAAAAACAGACCAGAGAAGCTCTGGTTAAGCGTTGAACCAGAGGGGCTCTGGTTGGTCATGTGTTTTGAACCAGAAGTTCTGGTTAGTTCAACCAGAGGCTCTGGTCGAACATGAACTATTTATAAGTACTCGTTTTATGAAAAAAGCTATCTTATTGATTGAAGGTTTAACTAGAGATCATTTTTATAAGTGAGAAGTTTTGGTTAGTACAACCAGAGGCTCTGGTCGTGAAACCAGAAGCTCTGGAAGAGAGACCAGAGAGGCTCTGGTCTTAGATTTTGAAATATATTCTAAGTTTGGTTGGTTCAACCAGAGGCTCTGGTCATGAAGACCAGAAGCTCTGGAAAAGAGACCAGAGGGGCTCTGGTCCGAAATGTTGAAATATTTTCTAAGTATGGTTTAGAACCAGAGGCTCTGGTCGTGAAGACCAGAAGCTCTGGAAGAGAGACCAGAGGGGCTCTGGTCCTGGTTGTCGAAATATTTTCTAAGTGTTGTTTGAAACCAGAAGYCCGATGGACCGAAGCAGTATGTTTTTAATTTTGCTTCATATGTTGAATGATTTGAAATAAACGTTTTGGTGATCTTCACCCTACATTACATAGAAGGGAACCTCACTAGACATTCATGTCTAACCCTCATTTTTTGTGTTTTCAAATTATGTGTGCAGGTAATGATTATAAGGAAAAGAGTGTTATGTGAATTACTTCTTTATATGCTTAGTCGTTTTGGAAGCATAGATGTTAGGATGCAAGAGCATGTACTTTTGGAATTTTTGGGCTGTGTATTTTATATTATAGAATCTTGTATCAAGGACCTATGTGGGGAAAACATGTATTCTATATATGAAATATGTATTATATGCAATGTGTGGATTTGGGGTGTTACAATTTAATTATGTTTATCTGTAATTAGTTACACGAATTCAGACATGGAGCTTTAATAAGTTGTACTTACGCACAATCTACTTGTAATCTTGAGTTTTAAATAATATGCATTAATAAACAGTACTTTATGCATAAAAAGTAGTTTTTAAGAATTTTTGTCAAATGCTTTATAATATAGTATAGATTTTTTTATAATTTAATTTAAGTTTAATAATGAAATAATTTATTTTTGGTTTAATAATATAACATTTTATAAAGATAATAATTAAGTATTCTGTTAGAACTCAATGTTTATCCTAATTATATTTTAAATTTTTTATATTTAAAATGAGATGTTTATCMTGTATTTGATTGTGTTTATCTGCAGTTAGTTACACGAATTCAGATATGAGATGAAATCGGATAGGGATGAAATAATTTAGGGATGAACGAGTTTAAGAGTTTTAAGAGTTTTAGCCAAATGTTTTATAAGATAGTATATATAATAATATAATTAAGTAAAAAAGTATTCAATATTGGACTCATTTCGAAGGTATTAACGAAACGATTATAATGGTGTAACTTGTTAAAATAAAAATATATTTTTTAAACATGTTTTATTTGATATATGTTTATGTATATTAATTTGATAAATGTTTAAAATGGAATATTTAAAAGTAAATGACGTAAAGTAAATTAATTAACTAATTGTAAGGTTATAAAATATAAATTTAAAATTATAATTTTAAAAATAAAGGTATAAAATGCAAATTTAAAATTATAATTTTAAAAAAATGGATTGTGAAAAGATGAGTGTTTGTATGGAAAAGGATGATGAAAAAGTGATATAAAAGATATGCAGGTCATTTAATATTTAAAAACTTTAACTTTTTGTTAAATTTGCTTTAACAGTACACATATATGACGGTTCACCAACCCTCCCGCCTCTCAAATCACCTCTCTGGCCACCGGCCAACGCACCATCCTGAAACAGCGGCAACCACCGTCTCTCCGCTTCTCACAGTTTCCCCTTCTCGGCCTATCCTAATCTATAATCTTACAGGTTAGGGCTTCGATTTTCTGTTTGGAATCTGATGATAACTTCAGATATATATTTGAATTACTCGAGCTATGTTAAATCTAGGGTTCCTTCTGTTGATGATTTCTGCTAAATCTTGTAATATGTCCCTGTCGACCTTTCTTTGTTGAAATGGACCATGCTAAATTATCTGTTTAGTCTTGTAATCTGCTAATCCGCTTCTGAACCAATGGAATAAGTAGAGAAGTCCGTTAAGTAGGGAGCCATATGAGTCATTAAGAGCATCTCCAATCAACCGGCAATTTTAGGAATTTGCCGTTTGTGACCTCTCCAATCGACCGGCAAATGAATTTAGGTTTTGCCGGATCCCTTATTTGAACGGCAAATATGCCGTGGGTTTTTGAACGGCAAAACCAGTGGGACCCATTAATTTGTATTAAAAACTATTTTTCATTTAATAATTTAGGGGTTGATTGGGTTATTTTTATGAAGGATCTATAAATTTGGTGTTTTTTTCAGAGTATGATTGTAGTTGAGTTTTTTTTTAGTGTTTATGAACCCATCATATTTGATGTTTTTGGTGTTTTTTTGGTGATAAGGTTGGAGTTGCCCTAAGACCGTAATTGTAAATGTTTAAGGTTACTTATGCCTTACCAAAGTCTTGTTCATCTGCCATATAACTCTGGTCTATCATTTTCCTCTTTCTTAGTCTCCGTCCTTTACTCATGTTACGATTGCATATTGAATATCTTTTTCGAGGTTTTCTAAATATAAAACCATTAATGTGTACTTATTCATAACATTTCTAATTAGAGGTGGATACAAGCGTAACGAAATCATAATAGAAAAAAAAAACATGAGAAATGTCTAGAGAAGACGTCTATGCCCTGTGAAGAAACGATCAATTTAGTTGGGAAAGATCATCAATTGAAGCGCTCCCTCAAGCTATTTTGGTAAGTTCCGGTTCAATGCTTGCAGATTACTTTATTAGTACCAATTTTTTCACGGACCAATGGTGTTTGTGTGTGTTCTTGCAGATTAGGGTTTTGTATGGTGTAGAACATGATGATTTGATTACTTTCGGTTTGCAACTTTATCAGTTTGATTTTTGGAAGAAAAAAAAACAAATACACAACTAAACTTGCTTCTTAGAATAGGATAAAATAACCTTTTGTTCCCAAAATAGGGAGTAAATTTTTTTATTTCAAAGAGGATAGAGAGAGGCGAGATATCATGGACTTAGGAGCTACCAACAAGGCAAATAGTTGCAGTGCTCTTGTTTTTTTTCCAGTGCATAATGCTCTATTTATTATCACTATTGGTTGGACAACAAACTTGAATACTTGATGGGTCAAAGTTGTTCTTGAATCTGAATCTTCAATATTAGTTCTTTAATCTTTAGGCTGCCATTTAGTATTTTTTTAATGCTGGTTATTGGTGACTTGGTTCTTAATTCTTTAGGATGCAATTTAGGCTTTAGCAAGTACTTGGAATCATGGAATGGAGTCTTGTTAGAATCAGGTTTGGAGTGTTCGAATGACCTGTTTCATTTTGTATCAAAAGGGGAATTGCTGAAAACATAAGTTTGGAGAAAATTGTGCAAGACTTCAAAGTTGCAAAAGATCGATGAGTTCCTCTTTGGTCAATGATGCTTGAAGATTTAACATTTTTTGTCCTGTTCTAGAGTTTTTATGATGGGTACCATATACTATGTAGTTCATCAATCATCTAGTTCCATAGGCTTGATGAATATGTAATATCACCTGTTCATTGGTCTGCCAATGACGTTCTTAGCGAATACTAACTATAATAAAGTGATTGATATGTTTGCTTCAATATAAAGCATGAAGACTTTGTTTTAGGTGGTGTATTTTTTATGTTCTGTTATACAGGGTTTTGGTTTATGTCCCCCTTTTGTATCATTTTTGTTATATTTACTTAAAATCGACGCGGGGATGGACAGCCTAGCTTGACTAGGTTCCAAACCCCTTCAAATAGTTTATTTTGTTTTTTATATACATAGATTAGGGGCATTGTTATGACTTTTCGCCGAGGGCATCCAAAACTTCAGGACCGGCCCTGGAAGACGACCAACTATGGTCTCAATGTCATATCTTCATTGTACTCTCAATGCATGCAAACATAGGAAAGAACTCGCTTTTCACATGCATATTGGCCAATAGGTCTGACATGTCACTTGCCAGCTGTGCAAGTACTTTACAGGTATACAAACCAAAAAAGGGGTTTGTTGGTTTGCTTTGAAGTTTCAATTCCGACATGCTCTTTGACATTTCAAACCATTTTTTGAAGATATTCTGATTTTAAATTTATTTTCTATGTCGCTTGACTAAAAACTCTCATTTTTTCAGTTTGGCTTTACTCTATTTCCTTTTGCAGAAGACTATACAGAAGTCAAAGATAAGATGAATAACGCATCAGTAGGACCTTCATCCAAGGTGAGAGTTGGTTCATCCCAGCCATCAGAAACCTCATTCAAGCGCAAGCGAGGGGTTTTTCAGAAAGATTGTGAGTGAACTTTTCTTTCTCACTGGAAGTTCTATCTTCCATTTTCTATATGTAACCTTAACTTTGTGTTTTGTTTGTCTGTTGTTGGATGGAACAGTGCAGCATATGATGTATGGTTTCGGAGATGATCCTAATGTAAGCACCAACTTCCATTGTCATAATTTTTTGTACATGCTTTCATTTAGTAGCTAGTACCAATGTACCATTTGGTTCCCTTGATGAAAAAGGACTTGTTTTCTTACACAAGTTATTTGTTCAAGAATTCAGTTAGTCCTGGCTAACTACAAGTATTGACTTTTTGCAGACTTAGTAATAGTGTAATATTATAAAAAAAATCTGATGTATAGAAGATGATAAAATTTAACAACCAATGTTTTTAAACAACAAAGATGACATGCTTTACAAATATAGGTATTGGCATCTTGTATAAAAAAATTCTGATATATAGAAGATGATAAAATTTAACTACCAATGTTTTTAAACAACAAAGATGACATGCTTTACAAATATAGGTATTGGCATCTTGTTATCCAAGTGATATTAAATCTTCAATACATTTCTCTGCATATGTTCGACTGAAGGGGAAATAACTCTTATGGGCACAGTGTTAGTGAACTTGTTTGCAAGGGCTCTGAGTTTGCACAGAGGTTTCTTTTAATGGTGTTAGAATGTCAAGCATATTCGTGAAGTGATTTGAGATGGCTAATGTTTGTACAATTAAAAATGTGTTTGTAAAGAATTTGTATGTTAGTGGTGAAATTATAAGCCGACAAATTCACTTCACTTCAACTTTGGGTCTTTCGTCGAAGTCACTAAAACAGATATTGTAGTCTGCTTATTGTAACATTATCGATAGCAGAGAACTTCAATTGGCTTGCTGGCTGTTCATAATCAGGGTTCAACTGTTAACACTGTATTTAAGACTCCCAATGTGCAATTAGCCTTTGGAAGTCACATTAAAACTATGTGGGTGAGACAGCTCTTACTCAAGTACAGACATCGAAGATCAAACTTTTAATAGAAAACAAAGTCTTATGTATGGTTCTATAGTTCAGGCATGCATCAATGTTATGGCATGGCTGAAGTCCTTGGGGTTTAGAAGTTGATAAATTACATAGAAAGTAGAACTCATTGCAGTTCATAACATAACCTGTATACATGGTTCATTTGTACTAGGAAGATGGCACATGAATAATTGTTTGCACATAGAAAGTAGAAGCCCATTTGCCCATCACAATCATTGCTGAACGGAAACTAGTGCTTCCTGTCACACACCACTCAAATAATTAGCGAATTGTTCCTTCTTTTGGCTTTTTAATTTTCTGCCATGTAACACTATATGGATTGAAGAATTCACATCGTTTGAACTTTGAGGCAACACTTGTTATGTTTTCAGTTGAAAAATTAGTTTTGACTGTACTTTCTTTTCTGTCTTTCCAGCCATTACCAGAGACTGTTGCACTTGTGGAGGACATTGTCGTGGAGTATGTGACAGACATGGTAACAGCTCATTAGATTTTTGTTCTGTTGTTCACATGTTAAGTAGTTTGATGTGAGAATGCCCCTCTAAAGTTCTAACAAGTGGGTGAAGATATGCAATCGGTTCTCTGGAAAACATTTTTGATAATATCTATGGTTAAAGGTGGCAAATGGCCAGGTCATATTGGAAAGGATCAAAATGGGTCATGGGGGCTAAATGGGTGCTATTGAAGAATGGGCAAAAATGGGTCATGGGTCAAATGCATTGGGTTGCCGTTGGACTGTCGCAACGATTTTTTTTCTTTATTTTTTTCCATACATATTTTATTTTATTGCAAAAGGGGTTTTGACACAGACAAAAAAAAACATAAAAAAGCACATAGGTAAGTTTGTGATAATAAAATAATACGTACGTTGTCTTGTAGGTAGGGCACCCAAACTATGACTAGCCTGATCCATGGTAAAGATATTTTAATTATCGATCCATTTGACCCTTTAGTCAATTTTGTTCAACCTAATACATCCTAAACTTTCAAGAAGTTATGGCTTGTTTTATTTTCATTGGTTCTATTTTTTATTTTTCCCACCTCTAGCTGTGGCAGTTGTCTCCAATGGTGTGTTTCATTGTTGTCCGGACGTAGTTGAAGTTGTATATGTGTGTAATTGTAGGTGCATAAAGCTCAAGATATTGCATCAAAGAGGGGAAAGCTTTTGACCGAGGATTTCTTGTTCTTGATTCGGAAGGTACTCTCTTTCCTTTGGCACAGATGCCATTTGTCTTGGTGTTGTTTTCCTGCCACACATCTAGATCTGAAACTGAATTTTACCCCTCAAAAGCATCATATCCTGGAAAAAAAATCATGGTCTACATATGTAGTAATTTCTGTTTTACCCATAAACTGTCTTTCTTCCTGATAATCCCAGCAAACATGGTTTAATGCCTGTCCTATAAATGAGTTCCAATGGCAATCCTCTTGCACCGTATTCTCAAATCCTTTTTTTAAAAGGAAAACAAAAGGGAGGGAAAAGAGGGGGGGGGGGGGGACAAAAATTCCATGTGTTCTGTAAAGTTCTTAGGATGGGAAATTTCATTTATGTTTTCCTCCCAAAACTTTCCTCCTAAATGTGTGAAGGAAAGAAATTTTGGAAAGGAGTTTGTGATCTGTTATGACAAAAATAACCTCATACAATAATGTCATATATTTGTTACATAAAGGGTATATTTGTGAAAATGGCATCTTCCATTTCCATTTTCTCTTGCTCAAAAACATGAAAAATTCTTTCCTTCCCATTCCTTTGCTTTCCATTCCTTTCAGGAACACAAATAAAAACTTAATTACCTTTCCTTTCCTTTCCTTTCTTCCTGAATTCGAGAACACAGTGTTGATGTTTCCTGTTTGGAGGTAATTGGATTATTTGTCAAGTGGGATTGTTAACCACAAAAGCCATAAGAGATCTTCAGACAGTCTGAATAAACTATACCTTTCTAGACTGCTCCGACATACTCGAAAACATATCAACTACAATCCGTTACTTGTACAAAACAGCTTTTGGTTAAGCTTGTTGGATCATGTAACTAATTTTTGCATTAAAACGTCTTAATAGGACTTGCCAAAGCTAAACCGATGTACAGAATTGCTGTCGATGAATGAAGAACTAAAACAAGCCAGGAAAGCTTTTGATGTGGATGAGGATAAGCTGGCACAAGCAGAGTAATGAACCATGACTCTCATTTTTACTTATGTCCTGTCCAGCCTTGGCAAGTAACTACTGTCTGTGCACTCTTTACTTATATGTCCTGAGGATTGTAGTTGTAGTGTGAAAATCAACCCACAAGTTTACTATATTTGAATTGGAAAATGAATTGCAATATTTTAACAAATTGTGATTTATTTTTGTAGGATATATTCGGTTATTTTTGAAATTAAATTCCTTCCATTTATCCCTTAAATTTGGTTCTAATTGCATTTATTGCTTAAATTCAGTCATTTTTGGAATTATATTTCTTTTCGTTCGTCTATGAAATTTGGTGGTTTTAGCAAAGTCTATAGGTGAAACTTCAAAGTGAATGAAATAATTAAGGAAGTTTAAACAAAGATCATAGGTGAAACAAACCCATAGTTGTTAGAAACGTGCCTAGGCTCTAAGGGGGCTCAAGGTCTTGGGTTTTTTTGAAGTTGAGGCTAGGCGTATTCACGAGGCTCACTAAGCCTTGCCCCTTGGTGGGATGTGTGTTGTGGGCCTAAACTTCTTAAAAAGACTCTCTCTCTATAAATACTCATACCTTAAAACTTCTCCTTTTTAGCTCACGCTTTAAACTTTCTCCATTATGCCTCCATCGAAGTACTGCTGGTTGTTGTATTGGAGTACTTTGCACAAGCCCAATTTTTTTTTTAAATTAAATTTTTATAAATTATATATTGAGTTTTCCGAGATTTCTACAAGATTTTTTACTAAAAAAAGTTTTTTTTGTAAGTTTTTCAAGTTCTTTTCTAAGTTTTTTCTAAGTGTTTTAATACTAAATTTAAAAATCGTAACTATAAAAACATGTAAAACATTTTTGTGTAAAAAAGATTTCAAAAAATACTTAAAGTGTATTTGAATGACTCAATTAGCGACTTTAAAATGTATTTTAATAAGATATTGTTGAAAGAAAAAGAAAATCTTCAAACACGATTTTTTATTTGTTAAAAGTTGATATTTAGAAAATAAAAAAATTGAAACTGATTTGGGCCGGCTCGAGACCAGGAACGGGTGACGGTTACCATGGGACCGGTTACAAAAGGAACATCTCAAATCAAGACCTTTCCGAACCCTGCTCGGGATCGGTTTTTGACCATCTATAGTTTGTACTAATCAGATAGTTAACAAAAGAAAGCGAGTCTCTCTCTCTCTCTCTCTCTCTCTTTATCTATCTACCTATATATATATATATATATGTATGTATGTAGAGTTTGTTTCAAATACAAACTGTTGTTTTTGTACAACCAATGCAACATAATAAACGGAGATATTTATGTAAATGATAAGAGTTCATTTATTATGATTTGAATATTTATGGAAGATAAATATGGTTTATTAATTATGATCAATACTTTATATTAGGAAACAATCAAAACTTCTATGAAATCATATATTAATCAAATGAAATGGACGGTTGAGATTGAGTTTTATTGATTACACAAATGTCATGAGTTGTATAATAACCAACTTCTATGTATGTGTATATATATATATATATATATATATATATATATATATATATATATATATATATATATATAAAATTGCAATGTGACTATGGACACGCTCAATGAAATGGTGTGTGGGGACTTGACTAGGTTGCTGCCAACGGCAGGCCGTAATCACATATGGGAAAAAAAGTTTGATATCTGAATTATTGGTAAAAGAAAAAAAAAAAAAAATATATATATATATATATATATATATGTAAATAATTGGTAAAAAGGTTGGGTAAGCAAATATGGATTAATATATGCATCTTAAAAATGAATTTTACGGGGTCGTTAATGATTCACATATGAACATTCTCTTTGCAATTTTTCAGCCTTCTCATTTGACCCTTCGTATCTCTCTATAGGGTTGGGTTCTTTAAAAGAATGAATTTTTTGGTAGGAAGTGTGAAAAAAACCCTTCATCCATCTGGACTTCACAAATCTTCATCTATATCCATTTGCCTATTTGTATCATCGACGTAAACATGATCGAAGGTGAATATGAAGGCACACGAATGTCTTGTGTTATTTTTTCACCATCCATTGACAATCAGTATTTTTTTAATCATTACAATTAAAAATCAACTCATTCAAAGACTTTAGGAATTTTTTTCTCCTCGCAAGAAAGGGTTGTTTGTGTATGATTCCATATATATTATATATTATATATATATATATATGTGTGTGTGTATATATGTATGTGTGTGTGTGAGAGAGAGAGAGAGAGAGAGAGAGAGACTTTATGCGTGTGTTTTATGTAGGAGTGGGTATTGAACCAATCCTGTTGACTGTAGTTACCAGCACCTTTACGTACACTTGATACCTTGAGATTGCTATTTCTTTTCTTTCTTTAAGGTATGCGTAGGAGTGGTTTAAGCTTACGACACCATGAATTGACTTTATTTTGGATCATCCCCTCAATAAACAATCATTTTACCCAGAATCTTACTGTTTTGATTACTGAATTTACTCTAATTTCCTATCAATTGTGCATTCACAACTCTGACATCCATGGAAATGGCTTAACTGAAAAACTGATCTTTATTATATATCTCAAATATGTATATGTATATATATGTGAATATAGAGAAGGGAGGAATAGGATCCTCCACTTTCTCTTCAATCTGGAACCAATAAATAGGTAGAATCAATACAAGAAAACAATAATAGGAATAAAAAATGGAAAGAATTATAGTTTAAACTTGAAGCTGCAGCTACTATCCCTGATCCTAATAACATTATCTGCAGACAAGGTATTCACGTTCACCCTGCACCTCACCAATGGCTTCCACTTTGGCAACTTCAACTTTCCCAGTTTAATCCTCACCGGAACTTTAGCTCGCAGAACCAGTGGCACTATTCCCGTCTGTTGCTGTGCCCCTAACGAACTCAATAGACCTGTAGCATCCTGAGTTTGTCCCGTCAGAGGGACGTTTAACACCGTTGTATTCCGGTGTCCCTGATAGAATTTCGGCCATGATCCTTCACACAGTTTTGTTCCCATGTAAATAACGGTCAACCGGGACCCGCCCTCGTAGGATATTCCGATCTTGGTGTTTGGATTTCTTGCTGTAATATTCACGTTAAACTGAGCGGATAAGCTGTTGTCATTGTTGAGGTTGAATTGGGTGATGGTCATGCCGTCAACCGAGTATTTTGGGATTTTTGGATCAAACCCAAAATACACGATTGCTGCTAAGATGCCGATAAGGAGGATGAGTACCACGAGCAGGCATAGTGTGCAACATAGGAACCGGCGGCAACAGTTTCGCTTTTTTGGTGGTTTGGAGTATTGGAGCGGGATTGTACGGTGGTACGGTGGTGGTGGCTCAGTCGGGGTGCCGTTTTCTGACCTGGATGAGCCTCTGGGCACCAGTGGTGCAGTGGGTTTCTGCTGTGACTCGAGGTCGGCCGCCGGTGCGATCGGGTCGGGGTGGATTCTCTGGTGATCTGCCATTGGAATGAAAAAATAATCTTGAACAAGTATATAAGTTTCAAGATTTGTTTGTTTGCCTGAAGAAGCAAGCAAAGTAGAACCCTTTTTTTGTTCTTGAAAGGAGGGAAAGCTTCTTATTATACAAGACTTGTAAAAAACAAAAGAGTAGGAAAAAGTCTCATGGAAGTAAGGTTTGCAAAAGTAGTCCCTGTACTATACACCACAGTACATGTTTAGTCCCTTGACTTTTAAGTTTTGCACTTTAGTCCAAAATTCCCAAATGAATCAACTCATTCAATCCAATCCAATCCAAGAAAATTTGTAGTAATTATTTATTCAGATAACAATAACGAAACCTCAAAATAATCTAGTACGCAACCAAAAGGATACTTTGCAAAAATGAGTGAAAGATTTGTTGTTTGCGAGTATAAAGACGTGTTCCAGAAAATGGCATCATGCCCTTTTTTACACGACTAGGAGATGCCAAATATGGAGGGTTGTCATGTTTTTCTATTATTGGTTTACTTTGGTAAAAACCGACACATATTCCAAGTGTTTTGTGTAACGTAACGGAGTTGATATCAGTTTTAGTACATTGGACCAAACATGGCAATGAGACATAATCGAAGGATGAGTATTGTAATATAGGAAAAATATGGTGATTGGAAGGTTCATTTATTTGACTTTGTATATGAAATTAGTTGGGCGGTCCCATTCTTTGTAGAATTTTACACACGGCTTCGGCACCAGTACTAATGTACAAGTCAGCAATACATAATGTACAAGTTAGTGATGCGTAGTATGAATATGTTTTGTTTTGGGTTAGCTACCTTTGAAGACTTTGTGATGTTTTCACGCATTTAATGTCAAATATCGACGCGTGGTTTTACTTTCTTTTCGTATCTAAAAACATCATCAACCTCTTACATATTTACTATTTTTTATATATATATATATATATATATATATATTAGTATTAAAGTAGCATTATAATTATTTAAAAAAAACATAAAATAGTTTAAATCAAAAATTAACTTTTATGATTATTTATTTATTTTAATGAATGAGATATTTATAGAAAAAATTTGTATTGAATTTATATAAGGAAAAAGTTCATAAAATTAAAAAACTGTTCTATTTTGAATTATTAAGTTTTTGAATTCTTTTTGATTGAATAAGTTATCAAACTTTTTTATGTTGAATGATAAAATCGTTGCATTCTTTTTGAATAATTAAATGATTGAGCTTTTTAGAAAATTGGCTACTTAAATTATTTTAACGTATTAAAACTACTTGTATTGTTGTAGAAAAGGAAGAATCAAAAGATTTTTTGGACCTGTCATTAAAGCCCTTTTTTTGATCATTTTTTTTATTTTTCTTTTTTGATTATATATATATATATATATTCCATTATATTGTTGTAAAAGAGAGATAATCGAAAAACAAAAAACAGATATAAAGAAGAAGACCTTTAGACGTAGTTGTTTGAATGCGTCAACATTTGTTGACTTGGATGAAATGGGTTATTAGGAACCAGTTTGACACAATTCTTTCTTCAACAATAATTACAATTCTCATCCACATGTTAATTATACTATAAATAATGTCATTTTAGAATAAGTGAAATATAATATAAATTGTTTTATGTTTTATTTATATATTTTTTTCTTTTTATGTTTTACTTATATTTCAAGTCTCAATATTTATGTTTGATTTTATAATTATATAATTACTAGAAAAAATAGTAATATTTAAATTAACTAGAAGGGTGCTCGTACAATGCAGCGAGATACATCTTGATTTTATTGTTTTCTTTTATTTTCTTTTTTGTCTCAGTCGATGTTATAATATGTTTTTATGTGGTTTTGAGAAAATGATAATATTTTTATTTTTGAATAAAATATAAATATGAAGATATCATAAAAGAATTGAAAAAAATATTGATATTAGTAACAAACTAACTATTTAAATTTTTTTTTTTTGTGTATTTCTTTAATTCATTTTTTTATTTTTTATTTAATAATATAATTTTCTATAAAGATAATAATTAAGTATTTTATTAGAAGTTAATGACTATCCTAATTAAGTTTTAGATTTTTTATATTTAAAATGAGATGTTTATCTTCTATTTGATTATGTTTATTTGCAGTTAGTTATACAAATTCAGATATGGAATAAGTTATACCTACGCAAAATTTAATTGTAATCTTGAATTTTAAGTAAAGTGCATCAATAAACAATACTTAATGCATAAAAAATGATTTTTAAGAGTTTTTGTCAAATGATTTATAATATAACTAGAAGAGTACTGACATGAAGGGATCGTTCGTGTTCTCCTAGTGGGCAGAATGTCTCCACAGTGGCGGTGCAAGTGCACGCCGACACTATGATCGCTTGCAAGTGTAACACTCCCATACACCACATTTGCATAGAACACATATTTCATTACATAGAAACATGAATTACATCAAAAGGTCCCACTAGTACAAAGATTATTATATGTACAAAGTTTACATATAAACTTTCCAAAACAAATCATGTACTACTACATGTAATATAACATGTATCTTCAAAAGCAGACAACAGATTAGGAAAATAATCACATTTTCCCTTTCCCTTTTACATCCCCGGACCCAGCTATTCCTACATTGCATAATTTAAAACAGAAAATGAGGGTTAGACCATACGGGTCTAGTGAGAAAATCTCTTCTTTGCAAATGCAGGGTGATGAACACCAAAATATGATAATGTAATTTTTGCTTAGAAATTAACTGCAATATAACAATTGATGCAGCTCACAATATTATGCAAAATAGAATATACCCAAGAACCTCAATAAAATATCTCTAAATAGAGATCCAACATTCCCAGTATCAAAACTTTTGAATTAAAAGACAATTCCTTTAACAGGAAAAATTTAAGGCAAAACTTGTCTGATATGACAAACCATTTTCCCCTTCTCAATAACATCTAAATTATTAMTTCTAAATAGGAATAATATCTTTAATTCATCAGGTCACAAAGAAATGATGACTCAAAGTTATTAAATCCAA